TTTGATTTAATCTTTTTTTTGCATTTTGTATGTGCAAATGTATATACTTGTGTAAGAGAGAGAGAGAGAGAGAGAGAGAGAGAGAGAGATTCTTTCGTTTATTCTGATAATTTTACTTAAAAATTAACAGGGCTATCCAAAGGAGTAGGTGCTGTCCATCCTAATGAATCATCACAATGACAGACAGTTGGGTAGCAGAATAAATTGCTGGTGTGCAAACCCTTTCTGGGAATGCAAACAACGATAATCCCATTAGTAGCTTTAGTCATTCTTGGAAAGTTGTTACTGATAATCTGACAAAGGACAATATGATTCAGTTATCCTGGGTAGGAATTTTCTGCCTTCTGTTCCGTTCCGTTAAGACTCTGTTGGAAAATTGTATGTTGGTCTATCATGCTGGGCGAGTTTTGTGTGGAAACAAAGCATGAACAACAGTCCAAGTGACAATCAATTGAACCTTGAGCCTTTGAAATGTGGATATATGGAGCCTTAGTCTCACAACGGCACATGTTGAATGCGTATGAACGAGAAGCTCCTCCAAAGAACAGGTGAAAAGAGGGAAATTGTAATTTCATCAAAAAAGGAATAAGAACATTTAGGACACGTAACACCCAACAAGAAACACCAACTATTTAGATTAATTACAGAAGGAAATATTCAGATGAAATGTATCTAGATATCTAGATATAAATATATAAATAAATTCATTCATTCATTCCCAGGCTATTTTTGGGAGAATTGCTTTCTCTTTTTGGAGATCCTCTCTAAATTTAGCATCTTGAATAATCAAAGGGATTAATACAATTCTCTTGGACCTTGTAAGGAGATAATCCAGGCTCCCAACTTTTGAATTGATTGTCATTTTATTAGTGACCTTCTTATGGATTCCTGTGGGCCACATATCTGTGTAGGTTGGTTATAAATCAGAATATCCTCTGATGAGCATCTCAGCCCCTTCAGGACAATCAGCCACTGTCCAGATCTCTCTCATTCTCTCTCCCCCATCTTCTGTACTACGATTTATATCATTTCCTAGTAGGATTTGATTACTTATTGTACCCTATGACTATTATTAAGTGTTGTACCTGATGATTCTTGACTCTTGACGAATGTATCTTTTCTTTTATGTACACTGAGAGCATTTGCACCAAGACAAATCCCTTGTGTGTCCAATCACACTTGGCCAATAAAGAATTCATTCATTCATTCATACCAAGTCCCCTTAATTTCAACTCGAGCTACAACCTACCAGCAGACAACTAACCATTCTCTTCTCTGTTCTGCTAGCCTTCCTTTCTTTCTCCATTTCGCAGCCTCCAAAAAGACCAAACCTACCAATTGTCAACTTTTCTGGCCTCAAATTAACTTGGGATTCTGCTCTCTGAAGATGGGGAGAGAAAAGGCTCCTTCACGCCTACTTCCATATGGTGAAATATTTTTGCAGTCATGCCACATGCTCCCTGCAGCTGTTTCTATGGTAGTGGGGTTTGTTTTGGATGAGGCTCCTACGAAAATGTAAGGCTATCTGACTGGAAAAGGCAGCTACAATTTTTAATTTACAACCAGTGCTATGGTAACCGAACACATCTCTGTTTACAAACACGAGACTCCAGGCTTGGGAAAGTTCAGCTGTTGGATTTTTCTTTTAAAAATAAATAAATATAGGAGCCTCTCTTTTGAATATTTCATGAGTACCACTGAAAAATGAACCCAACTGGTCTTGAAGAAAGAGAATATAGAGACACGCTTCAAAACAAGAGATATTCTCCACCCTAAAATGGAATTAAGCAAGAGAGGCAATATTTCTACAGACCACAATAAAAGACTGGTAAAAAGAAACCACTGTATGAGGTGGGGAGAAACCTCACAATTCTGAAAAGCCAGCAAATTTAGTTAAAGAGTGCAAAACTGCATTTATTATGTTTTGTTTTAGAACCTGTCGCAAATCAAAAACGTCATCATTTCGACAATGATCACCGGTGGGATGCTTTTCTTCTCGCAAAGCCAAGGCAGACAGAGCAATTTTGAAAATTCTCAATAGACCTACCCCAAAATGCTCAAAAAAATATTTCTAAAATTTGTATTCCACCCGGAATAGGAGAGAAGACCAAGATAGCGGACAAGCCTCCCTGGGAAATGTTTATTTGTCAAGGTTTTTAATTGCATTTTTTGTTTGTTTGTTTAAATGAAGGCGGGAAATTAGCATCCAACCCAGTTTTGTCATCATGTCCGTGGTTCCCAGTTTGTGCTTTATTTGTGGTTGTGGTTTCGCCTGGGTGTGTGCAGGTGTGTAACTGTTTCATCTACATATCATCCTTTGGGTGTGTGTGTGTGTGTGCTTGTGCTTTGTGGTAACATTTACTGTTGGCTCTTTCAACATTACTTATGTCCTTCTGTTCATTTTCTTGCCAAATTGTCTTTTCACTTCTTTAGCACTTCCTGTAAAATGAATACTGAACTATTTTTTTTTTTTAAAAAAAGGTATTTAAGAGTGGTTTTATATTTGGGGCAAGGCCCTTTACCTTGGATTTTGATTCTTACACAAACCGCTTTCCTTCTAGAAAATTCTCGTTCAGTTATGGCCCACAGATCATCTGACAACCCCTTTCAAGAGCATCCCTAACATGTTCAAACTCTCCATGAAGCTGCCGATAAGCGAAAGTTTGGGAATATTCTCTAAAATAAATAGTTTAATCCATAGGTTTTGCAGTTACACCACTGTTGCATTCAAATCTGTTATTTCAGATTTCTGCACACAACCGGTGTGTGTGTATGTGAAGACACAGCTGCTTGTTGGCTATTTTTGAGTACAGACAAGACACCTTGAATAAAATGTCTGAACTAGAAAAAGACAGTGGGCCAATGGCAAAAAGATCAGCTATTTTGGTCACAATGGTTGGTTGTCAAACACCTTTACAGCTGCTCCAGAGATATTAACAGAAAAGCTATGTAAAAGTCCTGGGTTAGATCTGCTTTTTAAAAGGTACCTGTTGTGACCCGCCAGTGGCCAGCGGAGTTGGTGGCAGATTCGAACAGTGAGGAGGTTGGGGAGGAACAGGGGCCAGTCCTGGAGTCTGGGGAAGGCTCTGACGAGGGCTCTGCGTTGGAGGCAGAGATGGGGCCAGGGCTGTCCAACAGTTATCGGCTACCTTTGGAGTCAGAGATCAGTGGGGCAGAAGAACAGCTGGAGCCTGTTCCCAGTGTGCACATGTGCAGAGCTGCCAGAAGAAGGGAACAGCTAAGGAACAAGGGTCAACTTGGGAGTAAGGACTCAGGTGGATGGTGAATGGCCCCTCCCATAGGAAATAAGGAGAAGCGAAAGGGGAGTGGGGTTTGCAGGAGACAATTAGTTCAATTCATTAGGGTTCCTGACTTCTTGCCAAGTTATTGCTGCTACAGTATGGCGTTTGGAAGATATCAGCCTGGCAACTCTCCCAGCCTGATAAAGGTCTGTAGTGAAAGACTGTTAGCCAGGATTTTGCTGGAGAGGAATTCCCTTTAAACTAAATAAAAGGGATTTTATCGGGACAAGGAGTCAGCTTCATGATCTTGGGAAGCCCAGGTCAGAACAGTGCTCAATTAAGGGAAAATAATCGGTGTTTCCTTATTCTCAATCCTTTTGTATTTTTTTTGGCTTTATGCTGACTAATTTTGGAAGCCAACATTGCTGGCTTCTTAGGTACAGAAACACACAGGGTGGGATTGCAGCCCTCCTGAGCATAAATTTCATGCATCAACATGAACAGCCAACCATGATGAAAACTGCTCAATGCTGTGATCCAGTTGAATTCTACCAGATTCTGCTGACCGGACTGATTTTCATTTTTGGGGCCTCCTGCCTACAGGGAGTCCTCAGCCTAAGGCCAACAAAGGAGCCCCAACATTTCTGCTCTCCAGTGAGACCTCTGTTAAGTGGGCTTTGCCCTCATTTTTATGACCTTCCTTGCCGCCATCGTTCAGTGAATCCCTGTCATTGACAAGTTAGTCACCTGGTTGTTGAGTGAATCCGGCTTCTCTGTGGACTCTGCTTGTCAGGAGGTTGCAAAAGGGAACCATGTGTCCTTGGGACGCAGTGACTGTCATAAGTACAAACCGGTTGCCAAGCGGGATGAATTTTGATCATATGGATACTGAAAATGTCATAACTGTGAAAAACAGCCATCAAATCACATGTTTCAGTGCTGTTGTAACTTTGAATGGTCACTAAATGAACTGTTGTAAGTCAAGGACTATTGTACTGTGTGCAATTTCTTCCTTTGGCCCAATCTGTTCTGACCAAGGCTTCCAAGACCGTAATTATGCACACGCTTATTTTAAAAACAAGTCTTGTTTTATTGCAACGCTGGGAATTGTTGTCATTCCCAGCCAGTAATGAATCTCAAACAGTCCCTTGAGATAAGCACCCACCTTTCTTTCCTGGGAAGTGCTGCCAATAAGAGAAGTGTCAAATGAACTAGAAAAACAACCAACCGAAGTACAAAGAACTTCAAGAATGAATCTGAACTGAACAAACAACTTTGCTTCCTGCAAAGGTTTTGTCATCTTTGCCTGACTTTTATACCTTAGAGGAGGGACAATCATCCTAGGTCACCCCTTTTGTCTCAGCTGCTCTCACCTTCTAGCAGCTCTGCGCACATGTGCACTGAGAACAGGCTCCCCTTGTTTCTCTGCCTTGCTGCTGCCAGGCTCTGGAGGCTCCGGAGTCAGAACTCCACTCCCAGATGGTCCTGGCCCCATCTCTGCATCGTACACAGGACCCTCGTCCTAGTCCTCTCCAGACTCCCGGACTGGTCACTGTTCTTCCCCATTGTCCGATTCCACTGCCATCTGCACCGGCTGCCAGCGAACCACATCACAAACTGGGCAATTGTAGTTAAATCTTGAAAGGCTCCATTTAATTCAGTCATTACAGACTTCTGGCTCAACCCCAAATGAATTATTAAAACTCCGACATTTACATATTTTATTATTATTATTATTATTATTTGAGATGACTGCTTGTTACAGGATACTGACAGCTGTTGGACATCTGTATACACAGATATGTATTTTTCCCCTTGTAAACACAAATGCATAATATGATAGTTTAACAGAACAGAAATTGTCCTCCTGTTCTTTCATCTTGAAAAGTAGCTTATTCTGAAAGCAAGTTATCCCAAGGAGGTGTTCAGCCCTCTGGTGTGATTGTGTTTTTGGCAAATCTGACTCATGACTTATGAAATAATTGGAGCACGTAAAGGAGACACACAAAATTACTCAGTTGAAAATCTAAGAGATGGAATGAGCAACACTTTGGTATATTTGGAACAGGTGGGACTAACCCCAAAAGGTAACAAAATGTTGGATGAACACTCCAGCATTCTTTAGAAATTGTGAAACGACGAACAACAACAAAAATACACAATCATGTAATGCATTTTCTGCTACACGTTGCAAGAAAGCGCTGTAAGTGTCAGCTCGCTTCCGAAAACACCGTGCCAAAAATTGAAAACATCAGATCTGGTTTTAGCTTTAACTCTTTGGAAAAAGACATCAACCTTAGACATTTTTTTCCCCCCTACACTGACAGAGGAGGAAAACATACAAACACACAGAGTAAAGATTAAATATGAGACAAAGAGTGTGTACCATATGTACACTTGTCACACAAAAAACAGGAATCGTATAAATTAAAATTTCTGTTGGGGCTACAAGCAGATTCAACACTCATTTTCTGTTACTTTTGGTTCACAAAGTTGCTGGGAATGCCACTTTTCCCTCTCACAACTATGTGCCTTCATCAAGTTTGTGGTTACTAATTAATAACTGTGGTTAACATAACCAAGAATTCTGCTTTAACATGGTCTGGACTACAAAATAGGAAGAGAATATGGTGTACCATCACATCAGTGCCAATTCTTCGCGACCAACAGTTAAGATTGTCTCCTCTGGTGTTTCAGGTCTTCCAGTAGTGAGATTTGAAAAATCCTTGCTAATATTAACTAAAGACTGATGGTTGGAATGGAATGAAAAGCGGAAGGCGGAAATTTGGTCTATGGCAGGGAAAGACTGAAGACAGAAATGATGCTTTTGAAGATTATTCACCCCGTTTAAAGAGGGAATCCGTACCGGATGGGTGGTAGAAATAAATGTGGTTTTTTTTGATGAAAGAAGTAAAATTTATGGAGCAAAACTAAACTGGTTCTCTTTGTGCCAGTTGGTTTCAAAACATCTGGAGCCCACGTTAAGATAACAACGGAAGGAATGTGATGGAAAATCAAATTATATTGGGTGGGTATTCTGAGATCAACTCTCTCTATTCTAGTTCCTAAGATATCGAAGTTTTCTATTGTGCTAACGGTAAGAATAGTTTAACCCTGATTTTTTTTTTAGTCTTTCTTTCTTTTCTTATTTTTTTTTTAAAAAGAACACTTATTTTCCCCATAACCACAGAACAGTACATTACTACAAGGTTTCCAAAATGCTGTTTTTGGTCCGTTATCGCTCTTGATTCCAAACCAATTTCCTACTGCCAATTCCACACGAACACGCTAAATGCGAGCTCAAGCTCTGGCATATTTTGGAAGGGGAAAAACAAAAAAAACAAGTGCTTTCTCACTTTGTGCTTCTTGTTTTAATTTGCCTTTTTTTCTTAGCAACAACCATAGGGAACAGAAGTCGCTAGTGAAACCACAGGATTTCGCTCGCCGCCCCCATAAAAAAAAAACAGCCATTCTAGGAATGTGAAGTTATTCGGAAACGCTTACATAAGAAATCCAGCGGCTGCATCAAATCTAAATGAAATTCTTGGAGAACTCTTTGAGGCAAAAAAAAAAAAAAGTCTAAAATAGTAAATGGGCATCTGCCAGGGAGGTCAAGGCAGGGACTCAAAATGGCAGCCATTGGACCACGTCAACATGGCCGCCATCTTAGCCTGTTTAAAACCTCTTTGGATGCCACTTTTAGGACTTTTTATATAGAGTTGGAACCAAAGTCTGTGACAGTGTTCATCAGAGAGGGAAATAAGGAGGGCACATTTTAGAAACTTAAAAAAAGTAGATTGAAATTTAAGTCAATTTCAAAAGTTTCCCCATCTTTGACATTCCTTGTTTGCTTCAACCAGGTGTTGCTATTCAAAGAATGAGCTGAAGGGACACTCAACTCTTTGGACATCGGGGAGGGGGGGGATGGAAAACTCCTTCCTGCATCCGTTACCTTCCACCAAGCAACTGTTAACTATCAAACTCTGTCCATAAATTTGGTTGCTGAGGGTGAAACCATCCAGTTAGCATAAACACTATCATTGGCATATCTTGAAAACACAGCCTTAGGCCCGTCGCTTCTCGCAAGTGGAACAGGGCTCTCTTCGGGCCAGTTCGGGTATGACATGCCTAAAAATGAAAACAGATAATTTTTTCTGCACTGAAGAACCCACACTTCACGTGCAGACAGTAAGGCCCTTGGCAAAACTCCCTTTGCAAATTGCAAGCCAAATGACAAAACGACCCCCGGGCGCCTCCACCCCAAGAAACTCCAAGGTGTTTTCCAAGGAACTAGGACCCAAAGCTGAAACTCACAAAAATAGGGGTACTTCGAGGCAGGCCTGCTGAAAAACGTTTGCTCTTTTTAAAAATTTGAGAAGGTTTTATATATATTTAAGGGAAGGCAAAAACACAAGAGGTTCTTGCAGTGTAAGCATCAATAAATCTCACAATTTGCAAAAAAAAAAAAAAAAGAAAGATTGAAAGCCTCTGCATGTATGTTTTCAATCAAAGACACTGATAGACGAAAGAAGGAAGGTTTATTTGTGTGTTTACAGGCACACACGTAAATGTATATAGATGTGTTTCGAGAGCCTGGAACGTATTCCGTAAGGCCACTGAAATGGATATAAAGCAAAACTTGTTTCTGGCTTTTCGTAAATGGCTTAATTTGTTGTTTGTCTTTAAAAAAAAAAAAAACTTGTAAGGTGCTCAGAGTGGTTTTGGAATTGGGCAGAGTAATAATAATACCCAGCACAATCCCTTGATCCCATCAAGCCTGAGGTTCTCGCAAATGAAATACTAAATCCAGTATCTTATAGGGAATCTTATCATACCCATTGAAAAGAGCCACACTTTCCACCCACTTCCCACCCCCAAAAATTCTGGATTTCAAAACTTGGCATGGAAACTATTTAAGTGCCTGACTACAAATGTAAGAATTGGGGGCTGGGGGTTTTGAGCCCCTGGACATGACAAACAAATGGAAAGGCACAGCTTGAATTAAAAATCATTCCAAGGCCTTTGATGGCATGTGCAACATTTAATTAGAAGACCAAAATGTAGGAGTTTTGGCAAGATCTGTCTTTACTGTCCCATCTCACCACCACAATAACAAAGCACATTCCTTCGAAGATACTTGCAACCACATTCAAAACAGGGTGTAGAGGCTAAACATTTTCATTGGGGGAGAAAAGAACAAGCGACAACCCCAAAAGCATGTGAAAACAGTAATGGTTGCTTTCGTGGGCTCACTCAACCATTCTCTATCGAGCGGTGGCGACTTCCCTACAGTTTTCAGCTGAATCTTTCAGCTCTTCCCCCAGACCTGTCTGAAAAATCCCACTGCTCAGTAAGCAGGCATGACTGAACAGAAACGTAACATATAGGAGGCAACATTTCTGATTGTGAATTTCCATCCGAATCCAAAACGGGAGCGGACTCTAAAATGGTGAAAAGGAGAGGCTCAACCCAAACTTTTAAGCCGTAAAAACAGGGATGCTTAAAAAAAAAAAGAAGACACCACCTCCCAAAATAAATTAATAAAAATAGGATTTCAATGCTCTAACCCCAGACATACACAAAAAGGACAATTTTTTTAATTGGATAATGGCTAGCGTATTTTTTCCCCTGAGAGTGCTTCCCTGATTGTAGGATTTTTGTCTTTCTTAGACTACGTATCTATATCCAAGTATAGATAGATAGATAGATAGATAGATAGATAGATAGATAGATAGATAGATAGATAGATAGATAGAGATTGGTTGCACGTTTTCACATCCTTTAAGTGTTATTTTTTGTTGTTGTTATTGTTGAACACAGCTGTCAAAGATGGCTAAAGGAAGAGCCTACAGCAGAGCTTGACAGAAATGAAGAAAGAAAGAAAAAAGGAGAGAAGGGAGGGGTTCTTGCCAAGCAAAAGTTTGATTGGTTTCATACCAAACAAATGATACTCGGAAGGGGAAGTACAGAGAGCAGTGAGGACAGTGCAGAAGAGGAAATCAGTTTTGGGAGGTTGTGTGTGGCTAGAATCTAGTAAATGCATGTGAAATTCTACCATAGAGTTTGTTTTCAATCCATGTGGAAGGAAGAGTTCGAGGAACGGGAACATTATTACAATCCACAAGCGGCATCTCTTCTTCTGAGAGTCCATCATCGTAAAGCAGAGAGTCCGAAGGAGTGGACGCGGCCAGATCTAAATAGTCCTAAGCCAAGAAAAGAGAAAAGAGGGTTAAGGACAGAGGCCTTTGGGTCTCCATTCAAGTCACAGACTAAAAATGTCAGGCGCAACTAGCAACCAGAGCCGCATGGGGAGAGTTCAAGCTAACTACTTCATTGTGTTCTGCCTGTAATACAGGAATCTCCCGAGCTTGCCTTGCCTTGAGAAGGGAGAGATAAAGGTTCCAATAGAGGTTTTAGGTCTCTTGTCCCAAAGGGTGCTTTTTTCCCCAAGAGGCAACTGGACTTTCTGGTTTTTCTTTGAAGACGTTTCACTTTTCATCCAAGAAGCTTCTTCAGCTCTGATGAACGGTGGAGGATGGAAGGATTTATATTCCTTGCAGACAGCTGGTCATTTGCATTCTGTCCTTGCAGACAGCTGGACATTTGCATTCTAAAAGAATTCTAAAATTGTAAAAGAACACCCTTGGAAGGGTGTGGGAGTAGGAATGGATTTCCAGAGGAAAAAATTGCAGAGTACAGGAAGCAGGAGCACCACTCAGGTGACCCTGAGGACACAGATAAACCTCCAAGTGGCCTCAATGACTCTCTAAAAAGAGGCAAATGACCAGCTGTCTGCAAGGAGTGTAAATCCTTCCATTCCCCACCATCCAGTCAGAGCTGAAGAAACTTCTTGGATGAGAAGTGAAACATCTTCAAAGAAAAACCAGAAAGCCCAGCTGCCTCCTGAAAAAAGCACCTTTGGGACAATTTTGACCAGGATGATGAAGAAGCTCCATAGACTTTTAGATCTCTTGCAGCTACACAATGATTCAAGGGTAATTCCCTGCTTGAGCCCTCTTCCCTGCCTCGCTGGGCATTTTCCAATAAAAATTCAGTTTAGAGAGATTCAGAATATTTTATTGTCTGGAAAACTAGCAGCCCTGGAGACATTTTTCCTTGGAATCAGTCCAATTCATGTTCCCTTAGATATCTGCTGAAGTTCTCCAGTTCTCCTCAACTTAAGCAGCAGTTCTTTGCCAACACACTAACATCTGGCAAGGAAGTCCTTTAGAAACCCACAGCCTACTCATCCAGCATTATATCTCTTTCAGGAGACCGGATCATCAATTTGCTACAGAAGCCTCTCTGAATAATTCTTTGTCTGAAATTATGGAGATTTTTTTTGTTCAGAAGCACTGAATTCATGCACATCTGGTACTGCTGAATATGGAAGATTACACCCCCCCCCCAAGCAAATACAACATACTTTGCATACATTAGAATCTTCACTAAAAGCTCTGGGGCAGATCGGAGGGGTATCGTGTGATCACATCACAACTCAACATCATGTGGATTTAATCTCATTGCAAGACATGGTCTTCTATTAAAATTGCACCATGTTAAAAACAAACAAACAAACAACCACACCAAAGCAAGGAGTTGCGTACTTACACAACCTACAGAAAGGAGAAAGCCATTCGCAAGGTTGGGGAAACCCCAAGATCAGCAGAATTGCGCCAACCTTCACTGTAAAAAAATGTCCTTCGATTTCGCGAGTTTTCTTCCGCAAGGGAGAGAGTTCATTTAAATTTCATTCCAAAGGTTCCTGAGAACTTCTTTTACATTTATGTTGATCGTGTTTGGGGATTTATTTTTGGGTAACAAGGAGAGATGGCTTTTTTATCTCTTAGGAGGTGCAGATGGGCAATACTGATAGTTTTCTTTTATGATATCCTCTTTCCTTTAATTTTAACCTCCCCGATCCCCGACTTCCCGATCTGAGAAAACTTCAAGAAGGAACGATGAAACAGAGCATTCACACATACTCCTTGTACACTATGCAACAATGCTCACACACTCTATCTATAGCTAGTCCTCAATTTATGACCACAATTGAGCTCTTTTGTTCCTGAGCAAGACAGTTATTACACGAATTTTGCTCCATTTTGCCCCATGTGATGTGTTGTCGCTGGGGTGGGGTGGGGTTATTATTGTCAGGATTTCAGCAGTTACCCCAGTTAAATCATGAGTCTCGAGCCAAACTTCCAAAACTTCAAAAGGATTTATTGGGAGTAAACATGTCCGGCACTGCCTGGGTGTAGCAGATTCTGAGACATGTAATTCACTGTCACCCTTGACCCTGGTTTTCCCTCCACCCCTGGGTTTATCACAATTCATATTCTCCAATGGGACACATCCATAGCCCAGAGTCATCAATCATACTCTCCAACTAGATTTTTGCACGGCAGAAACTTCAGTCACCTAGTTTTACTATCTTTGAAAACTATTTATGGAATGCACTTTTGATTTCCAAGCTGCCACATTCCTCCCCCCCTCCCTTTCTGTTGGCAACTCTAAAAAGACCATCGAAATATTTTATGAGTTGACAATTATATTATTATATTAATTTATTATGTGACTATTCTCTTTTATTCATTTTATTGTTTTTTATATGAGGCTTTTAATACTCCTGTAAGCCGCCTTGAGTTGCTGTGTGTGAATAGGTGGCAATATAAATTTCCTAAAATAAAATAAACAATTTCTTGCCCACTGTTGTTAAGGGAATCCCTGCTGTTGTTAAGTTAGTCACATGATTGTTGAAATGAACCTGGCTTTCCCACGGAAAGTGTTGGGGTTAGCCAGCAGTGGGTGCGGATGGCTGAGGAGAGTGAGGACTCAGATGAGGGGTCAGGACCATGGGGGAGTGAACTGCTGCCTTCAGAGATTGTGGGGGCTGGCAGCAGCAATGAGGAGGTTCCCGAGGAGCCTGTGCCAAGTGCACATGCACGCAGGATTGCTCAGAGGAAAGAACAGTTACAGCAGCACAGGCAACTTGGGAGTAAGGCTGCAAGGTAATGGCCCCTCCCTCAAGAGATAAAAGCCAGCTGTGAATCGGAAGTTCTTTGCAGGAAGCAAAGACATTCTGTAACTCGAGCGTTGTGGACATTGCAGTATCTTAGCTGGTATTTGAAGACTCTCGTGTTGTAAAATATTTCTAGGTAACCTTATCTGTGATCCTTGGCAGCCTTGCACAGTTTTGGCAAGGCTTGTGCTTATCAAAGTTAATTAGTTTGCAGCAGCCTTTAAACCAGGGATTTGTAAGAATCATTAAAAGGCTTTGGTTCTTGTTTGTTTTATTGGAAAAGGGTTTGGGTCAGAACAGAAGGTCAAAAAACAGGATCACATGATCTTGAGATGTTGCAACCATCCTAAGGACGAGTCAGTTACCAAACACTTGAATTTTGACGATGTGACTGTGGGGTCATTAAGGGGTCATTAAGCATGAAAAGTCACTTTTTTTCCAGTACCGTTGAAACTTTGAATGGTCGCATGCCGAGGACTCCCTATACAAGAATTCCATCAAACTTTTATTGGGAAGGCATTTTTAGGTACAACCAGGAAGTGGGTTGCTACTGGTTCGGACTGGTTCGGGCAAAACGCACGCTCATTGAAACGGTTCTAACACCGGTTGAATCCCACCACTGGGTGCGACTTATTTCGCATCAGATTGAATGAGAACTAAGTAAAATAATAATAATACTGTAATTTCTCCATTTGGAAAACATCTCAGGCAGGCTTTTTACCTCAAGCAGGAAAATTTCCCTTAAAAAAAAGCCCTGAGATTTGAGTTATTGTGTGCCAATGGATTGTTAAAACTTTTAAAACTTGCACAGTTTGGAAAAGGAGCTGTTCCTTTTAGTCTCTGTTCCTTCTTTCCAGAAATAGAAAACAGGCAACCCTATTACCATGTTTCCCCGAAAATAAGACCCTGTACTATTTATTTCTTTATTTTTTGGCCACCAAAAAAGGCACCAGGTCTTATTTTCAGGGGATGTCATCCACTGACTAACCTCACTTGTGCCGCTTCCTTTTCGCTGTCAGAGACCTTCAGAAACTTCTTCTTCTGTGGCTGGCAAGGCTTTCCTGAAGGCCTCTGCAAGCCGATAATTGCGTTCTGGATCGATCCGGAGTTTTGTTCTCAACTACAGAGGCCTTCAGGAAACCTTGCCAGCCTTGCCAGCTGAAGAAGTAATGAGCCAGCCAGGCAGGGGTTGAGGGGTGCGAGGCCTGGCTACAACCGTCCAAAGGTAAGTAGTAGGGCAGCTCCAGACATTTTCATACACCTGTTGGGCTGAATTCCCATTTTGTACTTCCGAAAGCTGCCCAAAGAGATGAGATATTATGTGAAACGGCCTTTCTTTCTTTTTGTGCTGAAGGTGACACTGCTTCAGGGATGGGATCCGACTGGCATAACTACCGGTTCTGTTGCTCTGTGTCATGTGCGCATGCAGAAGTCGGGCGAGTGCAATTTGCAACCTGCTGAGCTGCCCGGACAGCTGAGCAGTGCTGCGTGCAAGTGCGCAGTGGTTGGAAAAGCCCTTTTTTTCTGCTTTTTCAGCCGCAGCTGTGCCACGCAAAGCAGCTGCGGTTGAAAAAGCAGGAAATAAAGGTCAGGTAGGAGCCCAGGTGGGCGGGTGGGCCAAAACAGCAGCAGACACAGAACCAGTTCTGTGTCTGCTTCTCTTCAAAGCAACCGGTTCTACAGAGGTGGACAGAACCTGTAGAATCCCGCCTCTGCACTGCTTCCTTTAAATTAAACGGTGATGTTTGATTGCTATTGATTGAAAATATCCGTTTCGAACATTTGAACAACTGGAAGTCCGTGCATTTGCCATACGCTAAATAAAATGAATAAATTTGATTGCTACCGTATAATCAGAGCCGGCCTGTGCATATGTACACAAAAGTATTTTGCACTCTGCAGTTCTATCTGACCTTAAATGTTGCCTTAATCTAAATAACTGCAGCATGTCTGATCCCAAGTGATTAGCTGGGCTTTTCTCCCTTCCTGCCTTTCAAATATCCTTTCTTTAAATCTCTCCTTAAACAAGTTCTATTCAATTGCGACCAAGGGGGGATAGACACTCCAAGAGAAATTTACCAATCACCCCCCCAATGATACCTACGTAAGCGCTAATAAATTTGGAAAGGTTCTTACCCGGCTCTTGACCATCATTTTTTCTAATTCTTTACTGATCTCAGCAAACGTTGGCCTTTTATCTGGTTCCTGTTTCCAGCAGTGAAGCATCAAATTGTACCTTTAAGAAAAGGAGCAAACTTTTAATTTTCAGATAAAGAGGAGGAGGAGAGGAGGAGGAGGAAGAGGAGAGGAAGAGGAGAAGAAGAGGAAGAGGAGGAAGACAAGAAGAGGAGAAGAAAAAGGAGGAGGGGGAAGAGGAGGAAGAGGAGGAGAAGAAAAAGGAGGAGGAAGAGAAAGAGAAGAAAAAGGAGGAGAGGAAGTGGAGGAAGAGGAGAAGAAAAGGGAGAAGAAGAGGAGGAGAGGAAGAGGGGAGGAGTGGCGTAGTAGGAGTAGTAATAATAATAATTCCAGGATTCCAATATTTCTGTTTTGTTGGTTTTGTGAAGGTGGTATTGGAATCTACTGGAATGGGGCACCCTATGAAATAAGCAATTACAAATCTCTGTCCCATATCTTTTGTTTTCAATTTTCCTTGTGTATTTTATGACCTTTTCAGAACCTCCCACTCCCCACAAAAAAGCTTTAGGACAAATCCAATAGATTTCTCCAACACATGTATATACATGCGTGAAGACTGATGTTAGGACTTTTGCTGAAATGCATTAGTTCAACAAATTCATACCCAACGTGTCCACTGTCTGAAATCGTAAAATATTGCAAAGAATATAAAAACAATTAATATATATATATTTTCTTCTTTCATCAGCCCTGTAACTATTCTTTTCCCATCTTAGGTAAAGTCTAAGAAAGCAAAAGGACTGAGCAATAGCAAGCCCTGGTTCTCGCTGAAGGAGAAACTGGAGAATATAATTATGGGTAAGGGTCTTAAGGATTTGACTGGTATTTCCCAACTATGATGCACACCTATGGACCTGGATTCTCAACCAGGGCCATCTTCAACAACACAAGTTCATCCTTAGAAGACAATGTTTGTAGCTCAGGACTGAACTGTGGACTTCTGAGCTTGGTTGTTTTCTTGAAGACATTTCATTACCAGACCAGGTAACATCTTCAGTGCACATCTTCAACTACTGCCCTGTAGATATGATGTAGTTGGGTAATGAAATGTCTACAAGAGAACAGCCAAGCTTAGGGAGCACCAGGCCTAGAAGTTGCTAAGAGGAAGAAACCAAATTTGATGAACCCATTAATCATCTTTCCTCTGTGGTACAACAGACCTTCATCCCTTTGGGATCATGGTTAAAAGTTTAAAGGCTGCCTGTGATTTCTCCTCCATGGTGAGGAAAATAATTCCTCCTAGACAGTTCAGGCACACACATGTTGCATCCTCAAGGCTGTAGAAGCCAAGGAGCTGCCAGTCATGTCACGACACCATCACACCAATTATATGATTGATGTCCTTGGCAGATGATGCCATGGTGAAGTGGAGTTCACCTGCTGTCCTTTGTTTCGCCAACACAGCTGGCGGCACACTCGGACAGTGAGGAGGTTGGGGAGGAACATGGGCCAGTCCTGGAGTCTGGGGAAGGCTCTGACAAGGGCTCTGCGTCGGAGGCAGAGATGGGGCCAGGGCCGTCTGACAGTTATCAGCTGCCTTCGGAATCGGAGATCAGTGGGGAAGAACAACTGCTGGAGCCTGTTCCCAATGTGCACATGCGCAGAGCTGCTGGGAGAAGGAAACAGCTAAGGAACAAGGGTCGACATGGGAATAAAGGCACAGGTGGATACTGAATGGCCCCTTCCATAGGGAATAAAGAGGAGCAAAGGGGGAATAGTGTTTGCAGGAAACAATTAGTTCAATTCATTAGAGTGAAGATCTATTCTTGAGTCATTGTTGCTACAGCATGGTCATTGCTGCTACAGCATGGCATTTGGAAGATATTGGCCAGGCAACTCTCCAAGCCTGATCAAGGTCTGTAGATGTGCAATCTCTTGAAAGACTGTTTGCTGGGACTTTGCTGGAGAGGAATTCCCTTTAAACTAAATAAAAGGGGTTTTATCGGGATAAGGAGTCACCTTCATGATCTTGGGAAGCTTAGATCAGAACACCCTTATGGATGATCGCGTTCAACCAACTCACAGAAATCTAAGAGAAAATAGCTGATTGTATTCCTTCCTGAATTGGATATGATCCTTCTGAATTGCAACATTGCTTATCCAAGGATACTTACATCTCCTCACTGCAGTTTTCCGGCTTCTCCATTCTATAACCTGTTTTTAAGAGGTTAAATAGCCTCTCTGGAGCAATTCCTGGATATGGGTTACCCCCGAGGGTCACGATTTCCCATAACAGCACTCCAAACGACCATCTAAGGGGGGGAAAGAATTGTTTTAAAAAAAATCAGAAGCAGTTACTTCTGCAGACAAAGAAACCTTGCAAAGTATCCCAAAAGAACTGAGGACAGACCACATTTGAAGAGAAACTCTATTTTTCTTGCCAGCTTTCCAAATTTCTTTCTTACAATCAAATATCGAGTTGCAAAGGGCAGGCTGTAGTAAAATTTCACCCCAAAAGAGGTTTTTTTTTAACTTTGCAAGTTGCTGAGCTGTTGTAAAATCACAAACATGAAGCCTTTTATTTAAAAAAAGTATATAACTTTGGCTCTCAGATAAACTTAAATTTGGTCAGCACCCAGAGGATTGTATATGGGGTCCTTATTACTGCAAGGAGCATGGTTCTACCAATACTCCATGTACACCTTAAACCTATTTGCTGCAGCCTAATATATTTGTCAGACAACACTTAAACAAGAGTGACCTTGTTTTGCTGGATCAGACCTAAGGTTTATCTACTGCAGCTAAAAAAACTTCGTAATTGCAGACCGTAAAGGAATCAGTTCTTAGTCCAGGGTCAGTCTTCTTCAGTGGGTGCAGATTCTACAGAAGATCACTTCTTTTTTTAAAAAAAAATAAATGCATGGTATGTCTAGTTTAATGAAAAGAAGAACCGGGGGTGACACGATAGCAATCCTGCAATATCTGAGGGGCTGCCCCAAAGAAAAGGGAGTCAAGCTATTCTCCAAAGCCCCTGAAGGCAGGACAAGAAGCAATGGAAGGAAACTAATCAAGGAGAGGAGCAACCTGGAATTAAGGAGGAATTTCCCAACAAGTGAGCACAATTAATCAACGATCAACATGCCTTCAGAAATTGTGTGTGCTCCATCTCTGAAGGCTTTCAAGAAGAGGTTGGGCAACCTTTTGTCTGAAACAGTCTAGGGTGTCCTGCTTGAGGAGGGTTTAGAAGATCTCCAAGATCCCTTCCAACTCTGTTATCCTGGTGCTAACAGGTAACCATTCTAAATCATCCATTTTTATTTCATGCCCTCATCCCTGTTTATCTGCTGGTAACCGCTAGACATACAGAAATATGGACATGCTAACATTTGCTGGAGATGTGTGTCTCCAAATAAATGCTTATTAAATAACCCAGTTAAGACTAAATTTGTGAAGCTGCTGTCATCACTTTTTTTCTTCTTTTTTTGTGGCTGTTGCAGTCAACGTTGGCTACTCCTCAACGTTCTGTGGTTTCTTTGTCCCCCGCTTACTGAAATATGAGCGCAAGTCTTCACTGCTGAACATCATTACTCTTTAGTCTGAGAACGTAGCTCTGATGATGTATTGTGATACCAAACAACCCGCAGTTGGTTTTCTTTAGCACTTGAAATAGAATCCGGCTGTGGTCTTCCGATTTGCAAAATTCCCCTAACCTCACTGCGCTTGTCTCAAAGTGGGCTCCAGAAGCACACATGAGATCCTCCAGCCAGGATGTTGTGGATTCTCAAAGAAATTATAGGGGGTGGGAAGAGACTCAAGGGTTGAGTTCAAGTCTAGCCACCTAACACTCAAGACTAAATCAGCACTAGACAAGTCAATGGAATTCATAAGAGGTTGGACTTAAGACCGTTTATAGGAATGCAACAATTCCAGGCTGATGACTTGCTTAACTTCATCCACCGTCTCTTCCAGCTCTTCACCTAATACTACAGTAGCTGCCCAAATGAGCGAATGCTGTAAGGAGCTTCCCTTTTTTTTAAGAGAAAAAAAAAAGAACAAGAGAGAATAACAGAGTTGGAAGGGACCTTGGAGGTCTTCTAGCCCAACCTCTTGCCCAGGCAGGAAACCCTGTATCATTTCAGAGAGGGTTATTCTATGTTGGAAACACCTCCTCCAAGTTCCAACCTCCATTTTTTTTTTTTTTGAAGTAACAAAAAAGCCAGGATATTACAAAATCTGAACAGCTAAAAGAGCTACATTATTCATCTGTTGGATCAACCTTAGGTATGAGTATCAGTTGAAAAAAAAACAAAACAAGAAATGTTTGAAATGACGTCATAGAAGCCTGAAATGACATCCTACAAACCTGACATAATAACCTATAACAACATAAATTGTATCATTTGCCTAATTCAGAATACAGTGCAAATATTTAAGATGTAAAAAAGACGTTGAGACTCTAGAAAGAGTGCAGACAAGAGCAACAAAGAGGATTAGGGGACTGGAGGCTAAAACATACAATGAACGGTTGCAGGAACTCGGTATGCCTAAGAAGAACTAGGGGAGACATGATAGCAGCTTTCCAATATTTCAGGGGCTGCCACAAAAAAGAGGGGGGGGGTCAATCTATTCTCCAAAGGACCAGAAGGCAGGACAAGGAAGCAATGGCTGGAAACTAATCAAGGAGAGAAGCAACTTAGAATTAAGGAAAAATTCCCTGACAGTTAGAGCTATTAACCAGTAAAACAACTTGTCTCCAGAGGTTGTGAATGCTCCAACACTGGAAGATTTTAAGAAGAGATTGGACAACCATTTGTCTGAAATGGTGTAGGGTTTCCTACTTAGGCAGTGGGTTGGACTAGAAGACCTCCAAGGTCCCTTCCAACTCTGTTATTCATATTCTATTCTATTCCTCATCTGTAAATGTTCTCGTAATGATGTGACACACAGGACATATTTTTGAGCCATTTATGCAACGATGCCAGGGCATGCATGCCCCCACTTTGCCCCGAGGATACCGCAAAGTCTCTTGAACACCATTGACCCCCGTGGAGATACTGCTTGGATGTCAAGATACAAATTTCCAATAGCGTAAATCAACTTACACATCACTCTGCGTTGTGTAGATGTGGTCGAAGAGGGACTCTATGGCCATCCATTTTACAGGTATTCGACCCTGTTGGAAGAGAGAGAGAAATGACATATATATGACTTGTTGCAAGCGGATCTGAACGTTACTCCCAAAGCCACAATCCGCCAACAGTTCTTTTTTATTATTATTTTAATCCCCTTGTTTTCAGTTTCCTTCATTGCTTTTTCTTTCTTTTCTTAATTGACTTTCAGGCAATGGATTTTCCAGCTATACTAACTTGGCCCAGCCAAGACTCAAATGTTATGATGTGAAAGCATTCCCTCAGTTATCTAGTTACCAGAATTGATAGAAACAGAATGACGGAGCCGGAAGGGACCCTGGAGGTCTTCTAGTCCAACCCCTGCTCAAACAGAAACCCCTACACCATTCCGGACAAATGGCTCTCCAGTCTCTTCTTTAAAAAAAAAAAAAAAACTCAGCGATGGAGCACCTACAATTTCTGGAATTTTAATATGCTTTCTTTTCTTTTTTAAATCCCCCTTGCTGTTGAAATGTAGAGCCAGCAGGGTCTAGTGGTGAAGCCACCAGGGTTAGAAACTAGGTGAGTCCTAAGTCCTGCCTTAGCCATGAAAACCATCCGGGTGATTTTGGGAGAATCCCTCCCAGGGTTGTTGCGGTGGGGAAAATAGGAGGAGGAAGATGTGTCGGATGTTTGCCTGCCTTGAGTTGTTTGTGAAAATAATAAAAAGGCGGGATATAAATAAACGAATGAATAAAAGACGCTGTGAGGTTTGTTGTGGCGTTGGGCGCGTGAGTGGCGGCACTGGCGTGATGAACCTCATGAAGACCAATTTCTGGTAGAATTTGGGGGAGAGAAACAAACCAGAGTCTCTGCTGCATCTGCGTTCCTTGCTCCACACACCCCATCCGCACCCTAGCTTGATTTTTATGCCTGCGCTCCACCCCACCTTGTACTACCAGACAGTGGACGGGCCTTTACTAGGCCTTATTTTTGGGGTGGGGCTTATTTCAAGCTCAGGTGTGAAAATCAGGCTAGAGCTTATTTTCGGGGTAGGTCGTATTTTCGGGGAAACAGGGTATTTATGCTCTCTCTCTCTCTCTCTCTCTCTCTTCCTCCCTCCCATCATCATCAAAATTATCTATCTATCTATCTATCTATCTATCTATCTATCTATCTATCTATCGTATCTATCATCACTCTATCATCCATCTATCTATCTATAGTATCTATCTATGGTATGCATTGATCTGTCTATCTATCTACCTACCTACCTACCTATCTACCTACTCATTTTTAAACTTGGCAGAGGGACTTATTTTATTGACTTTTCTTGAGCAAGCAACATTTTGAAGCACCTCGTATTTCCCACACAGATACTACTTGCAATATGAAGAGTCTGACCCTCTTCCAAAAACTATCCAATAGCTGGTTGTCATGGCATCCCAGGGCAGAAAACAGAATAGAATAGAATAGAATAGAATAGAATAGAATAGAATAGAATAGAATAGAATAGAATGGAATGGAATGGAATGGAATGGAATGGAATGGATTGGAATGGAATGGAATGGAATGGAATGGAACGGAACGGAATGGAATAGAAGTGAATAGAAGTGAATTGAATTCTTTATTGGCCAAGTGTGATTGGACACGCAAGGAATTTGTCTTCGGTGCAAATGCTCTCAGTAGAAACCATTAGAGAGCATATCACTGAGGCAGCCATCGTCGACGCCATCTTGGATCTGCCCTAAATCCCATTTTAACTTATGCATTCTATACAGCCTTTATTTTTATTTGCTCTGAAACTTCCAGGATTCAGGTTTTGATGGATAACTTCAAATTCTTAATGTTGTAAGGGTGGAATTAATTTTTCCCCTCATGCTACATTACCTAACATGTCTCCTTTTTCCCCCCAGGTTAAAAAAAAAACCTAAAACCCCAATGCTATGATCTTCCCTCTATCGTGTCCCCTAAGAACAGTTCTAGCCCCGCCCTTTTTTTTAGCCTTTCGAAGTGTACAATATCCTTTTTGGGGTTGCAGTGATGCAGCGCCCCTTCCAAATTCAACGTTCGAAGCCCCTCGCGGCTGCTGATGGTTCCTTCAAATAAACAGTTCATTGTGGCAAATAAATTAACTGTCTACCTCACCTTGCTCCTCTTGACGTAAGAGTCCTCTTCATAAACGTCGCGAGACAAACCAAAGTCAGAAATCTTCATTTTACGCCCTTCGGCTACTAAGACATTCCTGGCTGCTAAATCCCGATGCACAAGCTTGGGAGAAACACACATATGCACACGCAAAGAAATTAATAGATGTGCCCCACCATGGAGAAGTTTATGGAAATAGGTTGGGTGGGAAGGGGAAGGGCCATACCTTCATTTCAGCAAGGTACTGCATGCCACGGGAGATCTGCCACGCAAAGGAGATCAGATCGCCCATGGTGAGGGCCCGCTCATCCGGATTGTCCAAGTAGCTGGAATTTCTGTTCGTGTCGCCTCCCACGTAGCTGGTTCCCACTTTCCGGCTTTCCCTCAGGAAACTCCGCAAGGAGCCGTACTTTGCATACTCCACTATTAAGTATAAAGGCCCTGAGGTCAAACAAAGGGTGGGGGGGAAATGCAGATCAATCAACTTGCCCTCAACAGATATACCTGTGGGGGAAAAAAATATGGCAAGGTCCTTATTTATATATTGTTTTAGTTTGCACCAATGTCAGTTTCACACACCTCACGTTCAGAAGTGTTATCATCTCAATTGGGGGATTACTCTTCAGTATGAAATTTTGGGAATTCAGACTTCTTCAGACTTCCGTCCTTCTTTCTCCCTCCTTCCTTCTTTCCTTCTCCCTCCTTCCCTCGCTCCTCCCTCTCTTCCTTCCCTTCCTTCCTTCCCCCTCCTTCCTTCTTCTTCTCCCTCCTTCCCCCTACCTCCCTTCCTTCCTTTCTTCCCTCCCTCCCTCCTTCCTCTCTTCCTTTCCTTCCTTCTTTCCTTCCTTCCTCTTCCTCCTTCCTTCCTTCCCCCTTCCTCCCACCCTCCCTCCCTTCTTTCTTTCCTTCCTTCCTTCCTTCTTTCCTTTTCGTGACCCTTTGAGAGCTGTGTATAACAAAACTTCATTTTAATGTAGGCCGATTAGTAAACATTCAAAGTGACAATAAAGTTATTCTAAGTTCTAAATACATACCATCCTGGCTACAAGCACCATAGAGTCTGATGACGTGAGGATGGTTCACCTGTTTTAAAAGGTTGAACTCAGAATGCAAATCCCGGAGCTCACTTGAAGAAGCATTTTCTGTGAAACAGAGAGCAGGAAGAGACCTATTATTAAGGCACCCCGACTATGACTTGAGGCAGGATTTAGCAATTACATGCTAGAGTATTACATAAATAGTGGAGAAATGGCTCTCCTTTCCATGATATGATGGCAAAGATAAGCTATTTTTTTAATATTCAAAACGACCTTGTGCAATAGCCGCCAAATCAAGGTGATGAAACACCTCAATTTGAGAAAAGCGGAATTTAAATTAGCTCCACCGTTTCCTTGTGCTTTTGGGCCACTTGAACATGTTGGCTGTGGCCTTAAATGGGTAGTTTTCTAACTTGGCCACTTGAAGATGGGCAGGCTTCAACTCCCAGAGTTCCCCACCTGGAACGGGCAAATTAAATTCAACTTCAATTCTGGGAGCAGAAGTCCACACATCTTATGCCAAGTTTGAAAAAAAAAAAAAAACGCTGTCCCAAATCTGCTAATCGAGTCCAATGATCAAACTTACACAAAACCTCATTTTGTAAACCAGAGTTGCTGGAGTTGGGTGGCATTTAAAATGTAAGGGATCATAATGTCAGAGTGTTTGCAGAGTGCTATTATGAGACAACCCAGGAGCAAAACACAGCACACAGAGGCTTAGACATTTAATGGTGGTTTATCTGTAAGACATATACAGGAATATACGTGGTAGGCAAAATGCCTTACAAGCAATCAATCTTACTACACAGAGAACTCTGCAATGGATACAGGACACAAGGAGAGAGAACACGCCCTCTAATAGCTGCCTTTATATAGACACCTCTTAAAGGACTTCTGTGGACCCATTCTTTGTCTTAAAAGGACACTACCAATGTTGATTCATCCTTATTGCATCAACCTTACATTACATCAGTCTTATATTGCATCAACCTTACAGCAACTGGTCAACTCTTAATCTCAATCCCAGCTATGGAAAAATCTCATCTTTGTTTGCCTTGGTGCTCTCTGAGTTTGGTTGTTGTTGTTGTTTTGCAGACATTTTATTACCCACACTAGGTAATATCATCAGTGCTAGTGAGGAATGGGGCTTGCTCTCACTTTATAGACTCCCACCAACACCGACCCAGCAAGCTACAGAGTAACCCCACTCCTTACTAACACTGATGGCGTTATCTAGTTGGGTAATGAAATATCTGCAAGGAAAAAAAAACCAAGTTCAGAGAGCACCAAGGACCTGTCATTTCATAACTGAGCTATAAATATTCTCCTTTATAGCCATCTTTGGGGTTTTTGTTTTAATCTTCCAAGGTACATCATAAAGAAAGCCCATTTTTACCACCCATCTGTCTACTGAATAGCAATAGTCCTTATACTTATATACTGCTTCACAGTGCTTTACAGCCCTCTCTAAGCGGTTTACAGAGTTAGCATAATCTGGGTCCTCATTTTACTGACTTCGGAAGGATGGAACACTGAGTCAGTAGCGATAGCAATAGCACTTATATACTTATATACCGCTTCACAGTACTTTTACATTCCTCTCTTAAGTGGTTTGACTCCAACAATCTGGGTCCTCGTTTTACCGACCTCGGAAGGATGGGAGGCTGATAGCACTTAGACTTACATACCGCTTCATAGTGCTTTTATAGCCCTCTCTAAGCAGATTACAGAATCAGTCTATTTCCCTCAAATAATCTGGGTCTTCGTTTCACCGACCTTGGGAAGATAGAAAGCTGCGTCAACCTTGAGCCGGTGAGAATCGAACTGCCAAACTGCTGGCGGTCAGCGGTCAGCAGAATTAGCCTGCAGTACTGCATTCTAACCACTGCGCCACCACGGCTCATAACTCCACTTTCTACAATGATCTTCAAGGGACCAGAGCTCTACGTGGTGTCTAATCATTTTTTATTACAGTTTTGTGTCCTCCCTTAGAATAATGTGACATGAGCCATGTCAGGCTGACGGATAATTCCTCAACGAGGCCAGTCATCCCCCAGGCAGGTGCAGAAGTGAACGATTCCTGAGCATTACACAATCTTTCACTGTTATCCAAGCGCCAATGAAGGATGACTAATTCCCAGTAATTACAAGGGGGAAGGGTACCGACACATTTGCGTGGAAAGTGACACATCCATTTAAACTTTCCCCAGGAAAGCTGCATTTTGGTGATTTTATTTATTAGAGGTTAAAGAAAGAATAGGCACAGGGAAGTTATATGGTGTGAGGATTTTAAAAAGGACAACTGGGAAGAATTGGAAAGCATAATTTTGATTTGGATAGAAATCAAAACTTGTTTAAGCCCAAGAATTGGGATCAACAAACATATTTGCTTAGACTGCAATTTCAAAGTATACTCCTAGCTGGGATTCATAGTAAAAGATACTTCTATTTTATTTCATTAAAGTATGAAACGGAACAATGTAAAAAAAAAAAACATAGACAGTAACCAGGGAAATCAAATCTTATTATGAAAGTTGATTGAAGACAAAAAGAGCCCATTAGATTCCTCAACTGACACGCTTCTTCAGTCACACTGGATTGTGGGTTCATACAAAATCTAATGCTTCAGTGCACACAGAACACCATAAAGGAAAGCACAACAATGCACCGTTGTAAGATGGGACTGGCCGGGGGGAAACCAGAGGTGGGCTAGAGACCATGCAAAAGTTGGTGTCAGATGTTTAAAGATGGCTTATAGACAGAGGACATCAAATGGGAAGCTGGGATAGGGATTCAGTGGGACGAAGCTTGCTGCCCTTTGCACTTTGTGTGAAAGGAACCAGTGACCATGATGCTATCTCTCAGCCTCACATGGTTCAGGGGACGCGTGGTTAGGGCTCGTGTGGTTACGACGCTGGGTTGACAATCAGCAAGCCCGCATTCGAGACCCCAAGGACTGTTGTGGTGGGGAGGGATGAGCTCCTGTCACTGGCTCCAGCTCCTGCCCATCTAGCAATTCGAAAGCGAGTAATCGCAAGTAGATAAATAGGTACCACTTTGGTGGGGAAATTAATGGGGACATGAAAGGAGCCCCAATGCTGATGTCATTGGTTAATCCTTTCAAAACACACACACACACACACACACACACACTATAATAAGTGGAGAGCTACGGAACAGAAACAGAAGGGCTGTTTTCCTTACCAAACGATTCTCAGAATTTCCCAGGGAGAACCTACCTTTCAACATTTTCACTGCCACCGTGGTGTAGCCAGCCTTGCCCTTGAGTCGGAAGGCTGTCGCTTTGACAACTTTTCCAAATTCTCCCTCGCCGAGAGTCTTGCCGAGCACCAGGTTCTTCCGAGGAAATTCCCACTTGGGATCTTCCTATAGGGAGAGAAAAGGAAGAGAGAGAGAGAGAGAGAGAAAGTCAGACGGAACTACAACTGAGTCAACCTCTGTTAAGTGCATCTTTCTCTCTTTCAGACCACACAATTAATAGCGTGGAAGAGCTCCTTGTTGCATGGATGACACATTACCTAGTTGGACAATGAACCGTCAATCAGAATAGAGCTAGAAGGGACCTTGGAGGTCTTCTAGTCCAGCCCCCTGCTTGAGCAGGAGACCCCATATACCATCTCATACAAGTGGCTGTCCAATCCCTTCTTAAAAAACTCCCGTGATGGAGCACCCACGACTTCTGGTGGCAAGCTGTTCCAGTGGCTAATTGTCCTCCCTGGTGGGAAGTTTCCCCTTAATTCCAGGCTGCTTCTGCTACTCTAATAACTAAATGCTTTCTAATTGTAGGCAGAAGATAGCATTAAAACACCAGAATAATGCTATAATCATGATGGCTAGTGATTTAAAAGAAAATGAGAATCAGTGCTGTTTTATGCAGGCCAAATATAAATGAGTAAATGTCTAAGACACACATATCTCACACACTATTTCTCTGACGTTAAATATAAACCAGGCAACGACAAATATCGAAGGATCTTTTTAAATGCAGAGGTTTTTTTTTTTTTTAAGCTGCAGTTTTTAAACCAAGAAAGAGCTTTTCCCCTGTCTTGTCTGGGCAGTTTAATTTGCCTAGAGAAGGTAGAAGAGAGAAGGGGGGGGGAAATAGAGCATAGAACAACAGAGTTGGAAGGTACTTCCGAGGTCTTCTAGTCCAACCCCCTGCTCAAGCAGGAAACCCTAGACCATTTGAGATAAATGGCTGTCCAGTCTCTATTTGAAAGCTGAAAACTACCCAGAGATTAAAAATTCAAAAAGGTTGTGATTGGATCACAGAATTCTGCTGAGAAACAGGACGGTACCATCTCCTGGTGGCCCACAATATCCACAACACATTGTGACTTACAACCGATGGGACAACATGGTAGGCCTAGATTTACCTCACCTTGAAGAATAAGATCCATGGCCTGGGATGAAAATAGGACAAATAAAAACAAAGGGGACATAACCACAGGGAAGTGGCCCTGTTTGTGGGATAGGGAGCTGTGGATCTACTATGTATACTAGACTTGGCCAAATGAAGAGGGTTGTTGCTGTTTTATTGTTGTTTGCACCAGCATGCCAAGCGTAGCTTGTGCCGAGATCTTAAAACACACACACACAGTCCACAGTGGTTGATTGGAAAGGTTCCCAGTTCTGCATTTTGCAAATGCTGAAGGCTTGACAGCTACCCAGTAAGACCGAGAGAACTTAAGATTTATAAATAGTAGGTGGCAATTATGCCAGAATCTGCCTAAACCCTCTCAGTATTCTTGGTGCCAGGAGGAGGGGAGTAAAAGGGTGTTTGTAAACACAGTTTGGGCTGATTTATGGAACTCGAAGGGGAAGGAGGATTCTTGGAGAAGCTACCTATTCATCCTAGACAATGGCTTTTCTGTTCTGCGAAGCTACTGATAAATAAAAAACAAATAACGTAGGGCTTCCATGGAAAAACATCTGCTCTTAATACCTAAATACTCATGGTTTGCACATTGGGCTCTTTAGGTTCTTTCTTTCCCCCTTTTTTTTCAGTTCTTAACTGAGTTGGTTCCAGTTCTTAGCATTGCTCCCAAAACCTTTAATAAGTCCTGGACTTACGACCATGGTCGAGCCCAATCTTTGTGTTGCCAAACGAGTTTGGCCTCGTTTTATGATCTTTCTTGCTGCCATTTTTAAGTGAATCATTGGTAAGGCAGTCACCCGATCATTAAGTGAACTCTCCCCATGGATTTTGCGCATCAAAAGGCTGCAAAAAAAGGAATCACATGACTCCCGGGACACTGCAATTTTGATCACATAACCCTGGGGATGTTGCAAAGGGTGAAAAAACCGGTTATAAGTCACTTTTTCTCCAATCACTACGCCAGCATTGATGGTGTTACCTAGTTTGGTAGTGAAACGTCTGCAAGACAACAAGCTAGCTCAGAGAGCGACCCCCTCATTTCAACGCTGACTCCAAATATTCTCCTTAATCGGTCACACAGTTGTACCACCGACCGCTTGGACAAATAAGGAAGTTTGAGAAGATGATCAAGAAACAAGGGTGCAAACTTCATGCCTAATACACTCTGGAAATGAAGTTGGAGCCTTCTTCATCATTTGGGGGCTATTTACAGAGCTAAGGTAAAGGTTCTAGGGGGCACTGCTCATCTCCGTTACAAAGCTGAAGAGCCAGCGCTGTCCGAAGACGTCTCCGTGGTCATGTGGCCGGCAGGACTAAACGCCTTTGAAGGTACACGGAACGCTGTTCCCTTCCCACCAAAGGGGTCCCTATTTTTCTACTTGCATTTTTTACCTGCTTTCAAACTGTGAGGTTGGCAGAAGCTGGAACAAGTTAATGGGAGCTTACTCCGTTACGTGGCGCTAGGGATTTGAACCGCCGAACTGCCAACCTTTCTGATCGACAAGCTCAGCGTCTTGGCCAGTGAGCCACCGCATCCCTAGAGCTAAGTATTGTAAAGCAAATAGTTTTGTGTGTGTGTGTGTGTGTGTGTGCTCTCTTTCTCTTTGTGTCATTCCACACACAAATGGGTGACTATGACAACCAGATCCCAATTTGCTTCTTAAAAACCAAACCAAACCTTGCTTTCCTTTAAACGATGAGAAGTGAAAAACTACATTTGATATATTGCAGTGGCACAGCTGTTAGCAGCTGCAAGGGGGAAATTGCTGGCTGGGGTTGCTAGGGAACATTAAAATAATTGATTGCAGGCTTCAGAGAAAAAAAACCCAGTTAACTGTAATCTAATTGCTCCTTTCTGTAGGACAAGCAATCATGTGTTGTGCTCTGTATCAAAAAGCGCATAACTAACAAATAAACTATTGTAACGAACAGAAGCACGTGGAATGTTTGCTGTTCATACAGGCTGAATATGGCCGGGTCGCAAAATTCACATGGAAATGAGTGATTTGTAAGTAACAACACCCAATTTTACTTTAAAGAATATTTCAGTCTACTACCTTACATATAATTGCAATCAATAAACATTCTGTTTCATCAGCTAGTATATCAATGTACTAGCGGGATACCCGTGCTTCGGCTACGAAACTACGTGATTGGGCTTAGTTTTGGGGGAGGAAAATAAGGGAAAAAATTCTTCCTCTGCCTATCAGCATCCATCAGTATTCATCCAGCTAGCGTCCTGTCAGTGTGTGAGAGAGTTGAGGGCTGTTTGGAAACAGAAACAGTATTTGTTGTGTGAACAGGGAGACAGCAAGGAGCCTTAGCTCAACTGTTCTGTACTAAAGCTGCTTGGTGCTATGAAACTGAAACTGAAATACAGATGATGACAGGCAGGCAGGCAAGCAGACACGAGATAGATAGATAGATAGATAGATAGATAGATAGATAGATAGACAGACAGACAGACAGACAGACAGATATAGATAGATAGATATGGACAGACAGACAGACAGAAATGTTTCCTTAAGGAATACAAAGAAAGATACAAATGCCAAAGCTTTTCTAATGCATTTTGCATTTAAGTTTTTAAAACTAAAATTTAAATAAATTTGCCTGTTTGAAACTAGGGATTATTTTTGCTAAAAGAAACAAAACAAAACTTTAATCTTTCCTTAGAAAATCATGGTGGTTTAAAAAGAAGAAAAAAGAAAAGGCATGACTGCAGTGTCAGACTAAGTATATGTTAACATTATGCAACATGCACACACACACACACACACACACACACACACACACGATCCGATCTGCCTGGGAATAAACTCATGAATTGCTCCTGTTTTACAAGCAAAAAATGTCTAGAAAAGTACTTCATCTTTTTTTATTCCTAAGTAGTAAGCTGACATCTACCAGTAAGCTTTCTGAAACTTGGTTAATGTATTTTACTTGGTAACAAGCAGTGGGGTGCCAGAAGTAATAAGGGTGGTGAAGAGCAGGTTAATGAATCCTTCCAAAAATCTTATTAAAATCTTTTTTTTTTTCCTATTACATTCCTTTCTGCCTCCACCTTCTACGTCCCTCAGGGACATGCTATCTCGCAATGAGGCACAGCCTCAGATAAAACCCTTGCAAAACATCTTCCTCATTAACCAGCTGAAAACGAGAAGAACTTACAGGTATTTTAAATGCATCTACTGACATTTGGTTCTCGGAGTCCATCGATGGTCGACGGACATTATTGGAGGAGTAGTTGATGGGATAGGCCTGAGCTGGCCGCCGGAAGGTCATCTCTGCCGAGGCGATGGGCGTTTTGGGTGCATTCTTGTGGTAGCGATAGATGAAGTAGGAAGAGAGGACAACCGAGATAATGAAAGAGAGCAGAACGCCCCCCGCAATCACCATTTTGCACATGTCATCGCAAAGGTGTTCTGTGGAGAAAGAAGAAATATCTGACACTCTTCCCTCCTGATCTCTCTCTCCCTTTTTATGATCCTGTAATCCCTTAATTCGGGGCAGGGTGGCTCTGAGAATTTACTGGCCAGACGCCCTTCCTGACACCGACATGGAGTTCACAGCAGATAGAAGCAGCAGATAGAAGAGAGAAACGTCTGTTTACCACCTACGGTAGAATTGAACTCTCAACTCCCTCTTGTGATCTACTATCCCTTTCGCATTTTGAGCAATACATTTGCAGTGGGGAAACATCTGTTTAAGAGGACAATGTCACCACCAAAATGCGAGAGCCGGGATGGTGAACCTATGGCATGCATGCCAGAGGTGGCACGCAGAGACCTCTCTCTGGGCACGTGAGCCGTCTCCCAGTTCAGCTCTGCCACACATGTGTGCGCCCATCTCCCGCCAGCCAGCTGATCTTCGGGTCTCTGCTGTGCACGTGCGAGGATCACGCACACAGGGTCAGAGAGCACAGGGGTGTTCGCCCGCACATGCCTAGGGGGCTGGGGTGTATGCATGTTGCACGTGCGCTGCATTTTGGGGTTGCGTGTGCTTGCTTTGGCCACTTGGTGCCGAAAAGGTTAGCCAATGCTAGAGCATCCAGCAATACAACCAGAGACTCACAACTTCAGACTTACCCCTGATATCATCTTTTGCACAGTAACAGTTTATTCCTGGAAAGCAGTGACAAACTCCGTGCCCTGCCTTGATTCCAGTTCCAAGGCTTCCTTTCTGGTGGCCTCCAATAATGTTGGTTCCTAAATCAAATTCAGATTAAAATAAGTTTAAGCGAGGCACAGCACTCAGGACCAAATGGCGTTTTCCTAATAAATATTTGAAACTTCGGTTTATCAAAAGTGAGAAAACTGACATCTAACAGATTAACCCAGTTGGAAGGGACCTTGTAGGTCATCTGGTCCAACCCCCAGCCCAAGCAGGAGACCCTACACCATTTCTGACAGAGGGCAGTCTAGTCTCTTCTTGAAAGCCTCCAGAAAGGAAGCTCCACAACCGCCGAAGGCAACTTCTCTTTCATGAGTTGATGGTTCTCACTGTCAGGAAATATCGCCTTATTTCCCAGTTGAATCTCTCCTTATTCACAGAGGTGCTGTTTCCCACCCACCCGCAGGGTCAACTGGACTTCCTGGTTTTTATTTGAAGAGGTTTCGCTTCTCATCCCAAGAAGCTTCCTCAGCTCTTCCAGCAGATGTCCAGCAAAGCATTCCTGATCCGTCTTACCTCCCTGAGCTCAAAGTCATCCGCCTGATGCTATCACCTGTTCACTTTGGGGCAGAAGGAAACCAAACAGGCATCAAAGCTAACAGTAATTTAAGTAATTTAGTAATGTAAGTAATTTCCATACTTGTGCAATCTTGAGGGCAGACTCTCTTATCTCTGCTTTCTACAGCATCACAAATTCCATCCGGACATGTCCTGATGCTTGGAGTACAGGTAGAGTAGTTGGTGGTTATTCCTAAAAACAAAACATGGTCTTTTCAGTGCTCGGCCATGCATAGACAATTCAAACCTATTCTTGAGGGAGTTTAATCGAGTGTCTTTCTTTTTTGTGTGTGTGCATATTCCTACATTACTCGTGCGATAGAACGCTCTAGGTTTCTTCTTCAAATGCACAGCTTCATATGCAGTGATAACGGAGTCGCGTTGCTATTTACTTCACATGCTCTGATGACTTTACCTCTAGTTGGGTCATGAAACCACCTTGCTCGGAGAGCACCAAGGACCCCACAGTTCATAGGCAATATTACAACGCTGGGTGACATTGAGCCAATCAATCCCCAGGGAGACTGGGAGTTCTAGCCCCACTTTAGGCATGAAAGCCAGCTGGGTGACTTTGGGCCAATCACCAGGAGAATGTGAGTTCTAGTCTGCCTTAGGCATGAAAAATGGCTGGGTGTCTTTGGGCCAACCCCAGGGAGC